TAAAAATGTCAGATCAGCAAGAAGAGAAATCAGTATTCATTAAAGCAGCATCAGTGACCACAAATATGTTGTGATTCAATTTAACTCATTTTAAATTGCAATTTAAAATGTATTAAAAATAAATAAGGAAATTAAATAATAGTAATAAAATAAATTAAAATTTATTTTCTCTTCTGTCTCTTATCAGCTGAAACTGACTGCAGTTTCAGCTAAGGACACCGTGACTTCCTGAAATTCTCTGCTACAGTTTCATATAAGTATCTGATCTGTCTGAAATTAAAACAGGGAAAACTGGTGCAGTCCAAACTGACGTATGGGAAACTCTTATAAATGTAAATCGATATGGTTCATTCACTTAGCTTTTGGGTGGTTCCAGAGCTCCTGACTCGGTCATTGTGTGTGTTTGTTACAGTGGACCGACCTTGTATAGGTAGTGTGTGTTTGTGTGCAGTCGTACTACTGGTTTTGTGATCAATTTTCTTGCATTCTTGTCAGTAGAACCAGACAGCTTATATTAAATTGTTTCAGGAAAACACTTCTGAAGATTGCATGAATGTGACATTCAAAATATGTGTGTTACTACAGTAGCAACAAATTTTAATTTCATTCTCCTGACTTGGAGCTTCTTGGATAAATATTTCCTTGATATTTTTCCCATTTGCAAATCTTTTGATTTAAAGTTCGTTCGAAAGTTCATGTTACGTAACTTTTTGTTTCTGCAGATTTATTGCTCTTCCTATATTTTAACTGTCAGGTGACAGGACCATCTATTATGAGATGGTATCACAAGTAATTAGATCTTACTATCTTAAACTAAGTGCAACTTTTTTTCTTTTACTCCTAGGCTGACTCCTGTGGTATTTTATTAATAATAAAAGGATTTTCTGTGTTGGTTGGTATAGTTTTCTATGCCTGAATTCCTCATGAAAAATCTTCTCTTCCATTATTGATGCAGAGCACAAATAAATTTCTAAATATATATTTGTTGGAACAATGATATTTTTTGGCTGTCAACTTTACAAGCAATACCATCTTTTATATCAATATAGTGCAGTACAAAGTCCCAAACAGGACTTTGCTTGAGTTCTATGAATTAATCGTGTACTAAAGTCTGGAGAGAGGTGGGGGAAAAAAGAATGCCTGCTGGCGTGGTTGTCCATATTTCTGATGTTTTAATAGTGCTTGGGATTTAAAGAAAATGCTTGACAGAGGACTGAATTTATCAATAGTGTTATTTTTATTAACCAGACTGTCTTCTGTGAAAATATTTATTCACATAAATTATGAAATGATCTTCTACTTTTTTTCCATTGAATACTGTGCCAGCAATTCCACTATTTAGCTAGGGACTTTTGTCTTAAATGACGTGTAGTTATTTAAAAAAGTATTTTAAACAAGCTGTTTAAAAACTAAAATAATACTAATTGTATCATTTCTGTGATAGTGGTTTATAGATGGATTGTACTCTTTTGGTTGGGGTAGTGGTGGTGTATGATGAGAAGGGTTTAGAAAGAAGTGCTGTAATAACTGTGAACTTTATGTAGCACTTAAAGACTGTCTTTTAAATCCTTTTTAGTGTGGAGGAATTTCTAGGGGGTCACGGAGACAGTTCTGAAATGTAAAGTTGCACATGCCTTTAAACTAATGAAGTTTAGCCTAGAGTTGAGCCTAGCTGAGTATAGCGCTCTAGCAAGGTTCTATTCAGGAGTATGTTATAACTGTAGCCTTTGTTAGAGTTAATTCCTTGACTTTTGGGAAGAATATAACCATGTGGATGGTAAATCTTTCATTTCTGTATGTAATCTTCTTTTTAGGATTATTTAGGGGATAACATCGAAAGTTTTAACCCTTAATCAAAATGTTTAATAGTTAAAACTAGTCATCTATTTTCAATAACAAGGAAAAGGGATTTAGGGCTGAGGGGAAAAAGAAACTGTGTGCGTGATGCAAGAAAGCAGTAAATGGTGCCCATCAGACACAGTCTTCCTTGCCTGTTAGAAGTTGGAGCTTGCTCCATCAGAAATAAAACTACTGTGTCTTTCAGTGTTTATTCACTAACTGATTTTCTTTCTCATGTCAGCTTTCTTGCAAATTAGAACCAAGTACTAGTATTTTGCTTCTGACGTTATCCCTGGTTGTGGAAAACTTCTCAATCCTCCAGATGAGTATCATCATTTTAATTGCTTCCTGAAATTTCTACCTCTTCCCATTCTTTACCAAAACCAGACAACTTGCTTAGTTAAAATTTTGATTATTCTTGGAGATGCAGACTTAGGTTTTTGGGGCTCATAAAGGTGATAGCCTGCTAGTCTTTGAAACTTCCTTTTTTTTTTTTTTTTTTCCTTCTTAAGAATTTCCCATTGTAGAATTTTTATCTTTCTCAGCTTGTGAAAACCGTAATACTGAGGAGGTGGAAAAGTGATGATGTAATCCCATCCTAGTGCAAGTCTGTCAGTCCCTCTGCTATGTGAGTTCTTTGCTGTCCCTGCTAAATTTCATATAGTATGTATGCATGCTTTCTCTGTTGCACCTTTGCACTCCCCATCCTCCCCCACCCCCCAAAGCCTGAGGCTTTTTGCAAAAATTTATATCAACACTATTGTTTTATTTTAATAGCCTTAGTTTTTTTCCTCCATGCTCCTGATATATTTATAGATAGTGATCAGAGCTACTTTGTCTTTATTGTTGTTAGACTAAATATTTTCTCTACGCTTTCATTGTCTTCATTCTCCCAGTAGTGCCTTTCTGCCCCGTTCTTTTCTTGAATGTATACAAGAATTACAATGCAATACTATTTTTATCACTACTGAAACACCTCATTTAATAGATACTATTTTTTTTTTTAATGTTTGTTTCATAGCAGTACTTTTCCTATCAAAGTCTGAGGGACTGTGTCTAAGCTTTGGATTATGCTTTTCCTCTTTGTTTGTGTAGCAACATTTGCCACCTTTTATAATTCCAGAACAGCCTTTGGGAGTAATAGGTGTCCAAATCTCATAACTTTGCTAGCTTTTCTTGCTGAAGGCTTCATTTACCTGGAAAGACCTGTTCAGGTGTGAGTGTGAGACCCAGGCATCAGGCAATTAAGATCTTTTTTTTTTTTTTTTTCCTGGGGATAGAGTAAGTTCAGCTTTTTGGATCTTGAATGAAAATTGCAAATATCGTGATGTGAGCAGGCTTTCTCTCCGGCCAAAAGAACCAACCTGCATCAGGGCTGACTAGACAACGTGCTGACTTTGTTAAAAATGTCAGTAGCTGAGTTTGGTTAGTTACTGCTTTAAATAACTGATCAAACTGGTCTGAAGCATCAAATCAACTTTTTTGACATACATTTGCAAAAGAGGTTACTAGAAAAATGATTGATTAATTTTCTCCATTTGACTTGCTCAAAAAAAATCTAATATGTCCCTCCCCCCTCCCCTTAATTCCTAATCAATAAAACAAGGATGGGGAGTTCTATAACTTCTGAAACTTTGAAACATGAGGTGATAAGAAACAATCAGCTGAACTAATTTACTCTGTTCAGTAAAGCCATTTTGAATACAAAATATAACATTTTCGTCATATATTGGTACAGAAATCCATGTTTAATTAAAAAAACCTTGAAATGTTGTTATTTGCACTTCTGTACATTTTAACTTTTTTTTCCTAAGAAGTATTTGACATACCTGCTAGTGCCTTATTTTACTTACAGTCTTCTAAGATAATACAAATTAGGAACTGCAATCATTGCTCTGTAAAAGTACCTAGATGTACCATATTGGCAAGCATACAAGACTCATTTTTACAGGGCAGAAGCAGCAGGGCACTGTTAATGTGGGATGTGTTCATATAACTGTCCCAGAAACGTGCAATCCCTCTGCTAATCACAAGCCTAACATTGTTTCATGTCCTTACTGTGTTGGGATCTTCCTGCCATTGTGATCATTTCTCCCTCACGGGGAAAGATGCAAAGCTATGTGTAGTTCATTCTCGCTTCACTGTTATTCTGGCCATTGGCAAACCACATGTATGTCAAATCCATTTAGCAGCTTAGGAGCAGGCAGAACCAGAAACTCGGGTTAGGGCAGATAGTGTACCTTGAAGATAAATCAGCAGCTGAAACCTGAAGTCTGAGTAGATTAGGCAATGAATTAGTCTACCTGGGGGACTTTGAAACAGGTGTTTTCTTGTTTGTTTGTTTTTTTACTTTGGGCATACTAGGACTACAGCTAAAAAAAAAAAGAAGTAGCTAGTGTTTGAGACCTAGATAGGTGGAACAGTAGGAAAAAAAACAAGTAAAAATAGTCATTTTGTCAGTGACAAAATCATGCCTAAATTAATTTTTTCCTGTATAGTTGTAACTAGATTGCAGATCTTGGTTTCTTGTGAAGAATTTGCGTTTACTTGCCACAGAATTGATTGCATGTGTTGCTCCTTTAGTGTCTTCCATGTTATTATTGTTACTGGTTAAAGTTCACAGAAATAAATGTATGGATATATATCCAGACTATGGGAATTGTATTTGAAATTTATGTATTCTTTTCTGGTAAAAGATAACTTATATAGAAACAGAGAACATATTTTATTTCTAGCTTTGTTTCAGGTGTGGTAATTTGAGAGGGGGGGAGTGATGTCTGCATATGCTTCAAGTGTGACTAGTTCCCACAGCTAAGATCAGAGTCACAACATCTTAAGATGGGGTGGTCCTTATAAAGTGCTTGCTTTCTCAAGAGGAGTAAAAAGTGACTGGTGGATGAACAACAGTGGTATTGAACAGTAATTGCAAATCTAGGAACAGAATTCAAACCTTCTTTTTCTGAATCACCTACCATGCTCCTTGACTGGATACTTCTGCAGCAGTCTGATTTTCAAGCACCTAAGCATTTCAAACGTTTTGTTCATTTGAAGCTGCTGATGCTTAGCACCTCTGAAGTCAGGACCATAAGCATTCCTTCTAGAGATAGGAATATTGATTGTATCACAAATGTAATTTTTCTTACCTTATACACTTGTTCTAAACTACGTAAATTAACATTTACTCAAGTGCCTTGGCATCCTCGAAGGTAAGGTGTGATAAATTTGCAAAGTAATTATTCTTTTAACTGATGTTATGAAATAATGCAGTCTACCGTACTAAGTAATGTTTGGAAACTTGGGACTTAGTTGAACATTTTATTTAATACTTGAAACTAACATGCAGAGATGAGTACCTTTTTGGTAAGGTAGGTGTGTATTTGTTTTGTTTGTTTTGTTTTTTTTTTTGGTTTTAGGCTAAAGTTGCAACCTCTGACATGGCCACAGCCTCCCCAAGATCTGATACAAGTAACAACCATAATGGAAGAGTACAGATGCAAGTAACAGGCAAGCGGTGATTTTTGTCATGGCCATTTTTACATGGAACTGTATATTCTTAAAAAAAAAAAAAAAGCAGTCTTTGAAAGTTATGTGAAAAATAAATCTGTGTAGTTAAAATTGTAATTAATAACGTGAATATTGTAATTAAAGGCATAACTACAGCATATATAGATGACTTGAAGCTAGGTAGAGTTGATGCAGTGAGTTGGATGACAGGGTTTAATGATCTCTTCAAATTAAAAAAAAAAAAAAAAAAAAGATGCAATACAACAGTAAGGACAAATGTAAGGGACTTCACTTGGGAACAAATAATTGATAGCACAAATTCCATACGGGGAACAGTTGTTACTGAAATTCTACAGAAAACAGATTGGTGGCTACAGTGAACTACAAGCTGAAATTGAGTGCAGTATTACAGTGAAGCTAGAGAAGTACTGGAAGAGATTGCAAAATCTGTTAACTTTTCAAAAAATTAATATCTTCAGTTACGTATTAGGCAGACTTCTATTTGGAATAATGTAGGTATTCTGTGTTATCCTTAGAGCAGCAGGATGCACTACATGGCCATATAGAATAATTTATGTTGGAAAGGACTTGAAGAACATCTAGTCTGACCTCCCGCTCAAAGCAGGGCTGACTTTACAGCTAGGTTGCTTGGGCTATTGTCCAAGCGCTGAGTATCTCAAAGACTGGAGATTCCACAACTTCCTAGGCAACATGTTCTAGTGATAAGCCACATTCATTGTGAAAGTGTTTTTCCTTTCATCTGATTGGAATTTCCTGTGTTGCATCTTGTGATTATTTCCTCTCTTCCTTTTGCTGTGCTGGTTCTCATAATTTGAGGTAGACTTTAGTCATCCCAGTATCTGCTGGAAGGGAAACACAGTGGGGTACACACAGTACTGGAGATTTTTGGTTGTAATGGGGACAATTCTTCTGATAGATGCTGGACAGGCAGAATAAGTTAGGTGCTCTGCTGCCTCTTCTATTCATGAATAAAAACTGGTCATAGATGTGATAATCAGTGTCAACCTTAGCTGCTGTTGCTATGGGATGGCAGAGTAGGATAAAAACCTATTTTAGTCTGGAGAGAAGCAAAATAAATCTAGGTAAACAAGTTAAATAATTACTGAAACACTGCCATAATTAGATAAATGTAAAAATGTTAACAGCAAGTAGTTAGAAAGGTGTTTTAAGTAAATATGTATACACATATATGCATGTATACATATAATTTGTATGTATATAAATATTATTTTAGCATTGATACATAACTTGAACTTTTCCAGGGATCCTGAGAAATCTGGGAACCCTGAAGTAGGAATGAACGCATGACCAAGAGTATATTAAGGCTATCTTGAACAAAACTTGGGAAAACATGAGTAAGATACCATGTCTTAAAAAAAAATCAGCCTCTGAAGAAGGATACATCATGATGGATGGTCCAAAGATGATCAGGTTATCTGAGGAAAACATGCGTTATTGGATAGTCCCCAGAATGGCTGTTCTATCAAATTAAATTAAACCTTCAGTGGGAAAACCAATTAACCTTGTATAAGGATCACATAATTTAATGATGTAAAGAGTCATCAAAATTGATTATAGCCAATAGCATAGGTGGAGCCACCTAGGTTCAGTATATAAAGCTGTAATAAACACAATTACAGATGCCCCATATCTTCAGAGCTGGGTATGCAGAGTGATCATTCTGATAATCTGTACTGTTCTGCTACTTAGCAAGTACTCTTGTATTTTTCTGGCACACGAACTTCTCTGACTTCCGGAGATATGGTTTCAGGCATATAGGCTGACAGAAGTCTATGCAGTTTTAGGGGTTAGTTTTCTGAAGGTTTGGTTCTCTAACCAGGCTTTATTGCAAGATCAGAGGAATGGCAGTGGCAATATAAGGGAAGAGGTGGGAGGCAGGGTAGTGTGAGACTGTGGCATTGCTGACCTGGACAGGTTTAAGCTCAGGTTAGTTCATGCTTTTATGGAACCTGTACTTATATTTCAAGAACTATAGCTAGTGTTTGTTAATTACTCCTAACTTTTTTTAAAAGATGTCCTAACTGAGAAATGACACTGTTCACCTCTCATGTTTGGGGACTCAAAACTTCATGACTTAAAACATAATTACAGAAAAAGGAGAAAATTCAAGGAAAGCTTATATACTATGAATAGATATCTGTATTTTAATGAAAGTTGCAGTTGCTATTAGAAAGTAAAATATGGAAGAAAAACAAATGTGGAAGAAATAGAGATTGTTGCAACTTAAAAGATTTCCCTTTTATGACACAGGTGGGACGTAGTCTGGAATTTTCAAATATAAGGAAGTTTAGTGCACATCTTTTAGTGGAAATTAAGTAGACTTGTGTCTCTGTCTTTAGAATCTTGGACAGTTGCATCTCAATAGCTAATGTGTATTTGTCAGGATTCTGTAATGTGGAAATATATGGCAGCCTCTTTTTGTCTTCCTTTCAGGCAGTTTAGTTAACTTTAACTTGTTTTCCTATATGTTATTTGCTATTTCAAAAATAATGGGGAAGGATTAATTCACATGGCTGAAAATATTCAGCTTTGCTTTAGGTTGAAGGGAAGGAGAATCATGTTGATGTATAGGAGGAATAAGAGAGAAAGCATAGTCAGCAGGTACGTACAGCTGTGAGTCCATCAATGGTGTCTTCTGAAGAATGTGCCTGAAATAGAATTTAAAATGTTGGCAGTTAGGCTGCTGCTGGTTTTTATAGTAACGTTATCAGCTGGGTGAGGAAGTGAGAGAACAAACTTATAGGGAACACTGAGGACTTCACCAGTGATTTGGAGGTAAAAAATAGCTTCTTTGGTCACTTGCTATTTCTTAGTTGTTGAAGATTTTTAAGTTCATCTGCAAAGCCCTTTAAATAGGGGAAGTTTGAGAGCGAATTTTTATCTGTTAATGAGCTGATGTGTGCAGTCACACTGGTAGTGTAGGTGAGGAGCTGAAGCTCTTTATACAAGTAGTAGGCTGTGCTGCACAGTGAAGGAAATTTTGAACTGTGCCTGAATTGTGTAGGCCCCCATAACTACATATAATTTAAAGCACTGTTAAAGCTTCTATTTAAAAAGAGAGCAAAAAAATCTGCCTGATAATCTCTGTAATATATCATACTTAGCCTTTTTTAGTTGAAAGTAAGAAGAGAAGGAAGAATGAGAGACTAAACAAAAAAACTGCAGGAGTTTCAATATTTTTTCCTAAAATAGTGCTGTCCCTCTAATTTGTCCTGCAAGCGATGAATAGAATTTGCCACACTTGTTTTTAACTACCTCGTAAAGTATCTTTTAGAAAATAAAAGCTATTATTGTATTATTGTAGCATTGACCTCTTAACAGTTTTTGTGTTTGAAACTTTCCTACCCATAGTTCTTAAGATTCAGGTAGGCAGTCACATGTTCGTCAGAAGTAGAAAAGATGAGGAATGACATTGCCATACCATGTTTCATACGTTCTGCAGGCAGTGCTTTCTCTGTTTTTCAGCAAGAAGTGTGCTCTTGTAGATAAAGCTATGCGTTTTATTAGTTTCTAGTGCCAAACTGAAACGGAAAAAAAACTGGTTTGGAACAACTTTCTACACGGAATTAACTGCAGATGGAGAAATCAAGAAAACAGCAAAATCAAGTAGTTCTTCAAATCCAAAATGGGATGAGCAGCTGACAGTGTAAGTAGATTTTTTTGTTTGTTTGTTTGTTTAATACTGTTTACTAGCCAGATACTACAGGCAAATACTTGTTAAATATCATATGTCTGCATGTAGTTAGCAACAGCCAGAGAAAATTACGTAGGTAGACAAGTTTATCTCAAATGAAAATTCTTTTTCAATGTTTCTGAGGTTTTGAGAATATTATTTATTTACAAAGTAATGTCTTCCTTGTATACAGTTGGTATGCACATGGTAAGAAGAGAAGGAACATATATATATATAACTAAGAGAAGGAAGATATGTAACTTCTTGTATATAGCTAAACATTTTTGTTTGCACTGTGGACCCTTCAAGTTTAGATCCTTCTCTAGGAGATGTTACTAATTGTAACCACATTGTTTTCAACTTGGAAAGGGAAAAAAAAAGTCTTCAGCTTGATAGGGAGTAGTTATGAGGAGGGTCACTTTTCCTTTAAATTTCCTAATAAAGTGGGATACAGTCATAAGAACCTTTTACTGCAATATGACCATGCAACTTATCCTAATGTTTGAGCTGTTCAATGTGGTTGTGCATCAAACGTACTACAGGTGCAGATATACCTGAATTTGATTCCATGAAAAACTGGCAAATCTTGCACTGTTTAATTGGCTTGAATGCATTATTTGACAAAAACAAGATAGCGTTGCTTCAGAATTGGCCCTACAAACAGCATAGCTGCTTTAATGTGGTACTGAGCATGGCCCAGTACTTCTTACAGCATCTGACCTGCCTTTGTGCAGTAACCAACTTTGTTGTCCCCCACCTGGTTCCTATATCTAACCATGCTGGAGAAAGGGGAGTAGTGCAGCATACCTAGCTTTGGGGAATTGTCTGCTTGGGACCACTGATGCTTAATAGCTCCAAATGTGGGCTGAAGCAGTTAGAATGTTTCTGTGCCACGCTTCTTAAATGCTTCAGGCTTAGAAGAGCTTTTTACCCCTTTGCAATATTGCAGAAATGAATAATACAATCTTGGCCCTGACAATGGTTTCTGGGAGCACAAACACAGAACTATCATTATATTCGTAGAGTTGTTGTTGAGAAGACAGGTTAGATTTGGCAGAATAATTGGTGACCTGATTAAAAATGATGTAATTTGGCATGCATGCTACTGCCAAACAGACTCATTCCATCATCAGTATTATTTAGGGCTTATCCCTTAGATAAGGTATTCTGGTCCCCTCTTACTTTGGGTATTGGAATGGTATGCTTCAGTTGCCCAGTCTATTTGATGATGAGTGAACTGTCTCCTGAGCTGTATAGGGCTGCACGAGCAGCAGCTTTAATTTCTCTGTGTGTGTGTGTGTGTGTGTGTGTGTGTGTGCGCGCGCGCATGTAGTGGTTTTTTTTCTTTTCATTTAAAACTGATCTTTCAGAAAGGCTTCAATTACAAGGCGTTCTATTCAGAATGCAAAAGCATATTTGCTCATCGATGAGTCACACGTTATCTAATACGTTCAAGTGACTATAAAGCTGTTTCTGTTGATGGGAAAAATTGTTTTCAGAAATGTTGATATAACTCTCTACTTCCAATAGTGTTTTGGTGGATATGTAGCACTGGACTTGCAGAACCACTATTCTGCTCCTTTCCTCACAGTTAGAAACACTCTTGCTGTAACAGGCCCTACAAAACTTATTCTCTATGACCTAGCGTAGTTTCTTGTTCTCCTTCTTGAGCTGGGGAGAGATCGTTGCTAAAGGTTATCACAGCATTACTGTAATTGGTTCCAATAACTTGCTACTTCCCTCCAATATTTACTTTAGCTTCATAATTTGATTTTTTTTCCCCCCTTCTGATTTCTGTGAGTATGCATTATGGTTTTATGTACATTTGTTGATACATAAATAATGTTTTATCAACGCTTTCGTGATAAGCCAGCACTTAGTGAGTAGGTTCCTTCTACTTGCAGGCAACTGATTGGTTGCTTTTTTTCCTTCTTTTGGTAAATATTTAGTATTTTGCCTTCTAGTGACAGAAAAAAGTAAAATATAATTGCCACCTCCTTTTTCACCCCCTTGAATAACATGTTTGTAGTTAGAATTTTGAATTAGGGAGGAATAAGGATAATTATTTTCTTTTTTAAACAAAACAATGTGTTATTTAACTGAGATTTGAGCTTAGTGTAGGTTACTCTGATGTTTCCAAGATTCCTTATACTGTCATAGTAATACAATTCAAGTTTGATCTTGAGACTAAGTATAAATATTACAGTGTTTACAGTCCTTAGTTAAAAAAAGAAACCCTTTTAGTACAAAAACTTTTTTCAGTTAATTAATATCAAGAAATACAATAAATGAGAGAAAGTGAATTAAGATCAAATATTCCTAATAACAAAAGTGAATACTTTAAAATCTGTTTATATTTTTTAAAAATGTATTTTATATGCAGGAATGTGACTCCACAGACTACGCTGGAATTTAGAGTGTGGAGCCATCACACTTTAAAAGCAGATGCTTTATTAGGAAGAGCCACTGTAGACTTGAGACAAGCTTTGGAAATACACAATAGAAAATGTAAGTTATCATGAAGGATATTTTGAGTGAAGTAGAACTATTACTACTAATCTATATATCAAAACTGGCAACCAGGCTACTAACTACGCATGTAATTACAACTGACTTTCAGTTGCTGTCTTTAATTTTCTCTTCCGGACATGTCTTACTGTGCTGTAGAGAGCAATTTAAATGTAACAATGGACTATAACAATATTGAAACAAATGCTAGAGTATGAGTTATTGCAAATTAAGTAAAATTGGAAATGATTAAATATTCTATGACATACTAATTTCTAATTTTCTAGAAGATCTGTTTTAGACTTAATAAAAAAAAGTCTAAACTTTCTGAAAAGGTGTCTACATCATTTTTTCATATTTCTCTTCTGTGGAATCAGTAGCAGAAAGGCTGGATATTTTTCCCTCATAGTTTAGCTGCCCAGAGAGCAGTAGGACCCATTAAGGAATGAAACAGTTGAGAAATTTCTTTTAGTACATTAATGATTACTGTGTTCTACATACCTTCTCATTTTAATTCTATTTAATAGAATTAAAACAGATTTTCTTTTATCTAATTTTGCTTTTCTAAATTTTTCCCATTAATACGATAAGATGGTGAATCCACACTTTAAATTCCACTTCATAGTGGCACTAGAATTCCAGCTACACCAGTCTCTAACCTTTCTCACAAGCTAGATATCGTACAAAACTAGGAACTTGGAGGGTTGTGGGAGAAAGGAGACCTCTTAAAAAAAAAAAAAAAAAGTTGAATTGAAAGAAATCCAAAATCAAGTAGAATTTCTTCAGCAGTACAAAGATTCTGCCCCAGATTCCATTGTAAAGGGGAAGAAGTGCTTATTCTCTGAAAATGAGGAAAAATTCTCTGAATTATGAAATACTTCATAATGAGCTGAAATACTGTGTAAAAGGGTCCTGTAATGTAAGGACTGAAAAGTGTTATTTTTAAGAGAATAAAAAAGTAATTGTACTTTCTCTACATTTCACATTGTTGAAATTTTATGCTTCGATTTTATTAGAAGAAACTGGATTGTAATAACGATAGCAGTCGAATATAATAGTTTATATTTTATAACTGTAGATCCGAGGGGTGTAGCATCCAAAAACTTGGCAAATTCTTTCAGGGGATAGTTGACTAAGTTAGTTGTAGATTTCATTAAAGGTAGTTTATGTGCAGTGCTTCCTGTTGTGGCAAGTTAACAGTTTGACAGACACTGGATTATCCAGTCGTTCAGTGGTAGAATAATCTGATCTGTATTCTTCAGTGGTTCAGTTACTGATGCCTAAGCTAATATGCAGCACTTGAAATGCTCATTACTGAAGAAAGCGTGAAAGGGGAAGTCCTCTAAATGCAGATACCTTAGAATTGTGGTGTTAATTTTTGCTACTAACCACCACCACTAATGAATTGCTGTTCACAGCCATCCCAGCTCTTCCACCACCTCAGCTGGAGTACAGCCAAGTGTTAATCTTCTTTTGGGAGGGAACCTTTTAAAAAAAATAGATGGTAAACTGATCATCCTTTGCAGAAATGGTGTTTTGTAAATATGTTGCAGTTTAACAGCTCTATTGTAGATTAGTTCCTTCTGTCTCTTCTTTCAGGTAGTATAATTGCCTAAAATGCAGATTTCATAGATCTATAACTTTATAATAGATTGAGGATAACTTTCATATGTACATTTTTGGCAACTATGTGTTTACTCTAGGGATTTACGGTACTGTGAAAACCATCCTAATTTAGCAATGGGTAAATTAAGTACTGCTCCACTATACTTTTGAATCTGTTCTTTAAAGGTAAAGGTTGTACTTATTGACCTTAACATCTTGGACTATTTAGCAACAGCTTATGGTAGCATTCCCTGTTTTCATGTTTATTGTTCATTTATGATTCTAGACAAAAATGAGAAAAGTAAGGAAGTGATAGTTTAATGCATGGAAGTACAATTCAGGTGCACAGTGAGCTTTAACTTTAGCTTGGAATGCTATCATATGGAGAGAAGTATGGTGGCATATCTTGAAAAATTAAACCTGAGACCACAAATACTAACAGGCCTTAACGATTTTAACCTGACTAATGTGATCTCATAGCTTACTGTATTTGGATTTCTGACATGTAGCTTTAAATGCTGTATTAGTAACACTTGATTTAGAGAGAATTATGTAACATCCACAGCATATTTAGTTCTGGATTGTGTGTGTCTGTCTACGTATTTGTGCATTGCTTATCGGTCATATAGAATATCTTATTGGACCATGTACACTTTTTTTTTTTTTGGTAAGTTCTCATAATTTCAGATATCTCATAATATCTCAAAACACAAAGTTTGTTTTGGTAAGAATGATTTCTGATTGTGATTATTTGAGGTATCCTGTCTGTTAATGTTTAATCCTCTGATCTGAGATCTCAGTAAATCCTTACAAGCATTTTCAAAAGATTATTCTCCCTAAAAATTAGGAAGTTCCCAGTGCAGTCTTTGTATTTACTTCTTTCACAGATTGATGTTCTTCCTAGTTGTCTCTTAGTTTTGGAAGATGATATAAGAAATGAACATGAGCTCTGGTTTTAGTATAAGTCTAACTGTGACTTATAAAGCATAATATTTGGATATGTAATTCAGAGGTTGTTTGGCTTTATGCCTTCTGGTGTTATGTAAGTAGTGCATGATTTCAAAAGGGCTTAGTGCAAACAGCAAACCTGGAAAATCTATGGCAATGCAGAACTGAAACTGTATGGCTCCTGTGCATACATATAAACTATACTATGTAAATGGACAATTTATTTTTATAATAAACTGTGCTTTTACACACCGCTGGTATAAATTCACACAGCTCCTTAGTGATTACTATGTTGATCTGAACCATCTGAGCATCTCATACCCAGCTTTGTACAACTAAATTAGTATGTATCATATTTTTCTGTTGAAAGGATTTTTTTTTCCTCGTTGCTTAGAATTTAATCTTTCCTTTACTCCTTCTCTCCTTCTCTCCCTTTACCCTCTCCAACGGCATTTTTAGTGGAGAAGGTGAAAGAACAGTTGAAACTATCTCTGGAAAACAAGAGTGGCATGGTGCAAACAGGTGAACTGACAGTTGTGCTAGATGGTTTGGTTGTTGAACAAGAATCTCTTACAAATCTCAGTTCACCAGCAACCAGTAAGTTTAAAACAAACAAACGAGCAAGTTTTTAATGTTTTGATAAAAATTTTAAACAGATATAATAGAGTATTTCTGTTGAATTTGTTTCTTCCTGTTCAGTAGAAGTTCAGCAGAACGGTGAGGCTGTACATGAAAACAGAGATGCTTCGGCAAGAAGTGCATCCAGGTTGGAATTTATTTTTGTGTGTTAGACTGTATGAAGTATACTAGCAACTGCATGAGTTAAGTTGACTCTTCTTGTTGTTTGTTTTTTGTTTTCGTTTTTTGTTTTTTTAGGGAATAGATTTTAACTAAATTATAGTACCACAGATTTTGAAAATATTGCTTGTATAATAATTACATGTTTTAGCTTGACAGAATTATATTTACAGCTCTATTCTTCCTCTCCTGTTAGAGCTTGGTCTCCACAGTAGTTTATGATTTGCCTCTTGGATATGTAGCGCTCTGAGCATAAAAATTCATCTGAATGGAAATCTAATAAGTGCTGCAACAGAGATGAGTGAAGAAGTGACTCAGTGTGGTTTTGTGTCCACTTATTTTTCTCTGCTGTTTAAGAGCCATCTTTATTCATTTCTACCAACTTTTTACAACATATCATCTGAATGTAAGAAAGAAGAAAAAGCATAAATTACTCCCCCCCCCAGCCAGTTCCTTTTTAAGGTCTCGATCAGGAAGTTGTTGAACAGACTTGCTATTGACTTCAGGAAGCGGTATTCAGAGCATTGAGGCAAAGAGTTTGCGTGCTTCAACCTGAAGTGGCAAGAAGTTTTAAGATTGATTTAAAAGTTTCATTCTTGGTCCCTCTACCTCTGTACCAGCTCAGAGAGTGCCTGAACAGTAGTAGGAATAAATTGTTTGTCCCCTCACCACCAGTAAAGGAGTTAAGTAGATCAACGTTCAGATCAATTTAATGTTACTGGGCCACTTGGTTACCTTGCAGTGAACCCCTTCCCATTTAAGTTCATGGCATGGGATGCAGTGAAATGGCATACAGCTGCTATGCATTTGAGTGACAGGGACATGTTTGTTCTTGTACGCTCTGCTTCCTCCTTTTCTTGAATATGTCCCTGTAACCCCATGGGTGCACAGCATTAGGGAATGAGGATAAAAAGTTATTTCTTCCTAGTTTTCTGTAGAAGGCTTTGTCACTGTTCAATTATTTCAGAAAGGTTCAAATGCACCTGCATAATCTTTTGAAACATTAATAGTAATCATTTGTTTCCATTCAACTGTTGTTGTTCCAGGAGCGGCTTTTATTGGGATCCTGCTCTTGACACTGATGTTTTGATTGCAAATCTTTGATAAAATTATTTAGCAATTTTGCTTTAGAGTTTTAAAATTAAACAGAGGAAGAAAAGTTTTGAAATAGTTTCTGTGCGTGTCTTTAGGAAGAAAATCAGGTTTGTAGTGTAAAACTGAAAAGCGATACTCTTTGAATTTTCTGTTAATACTACTACTTTGGAGTTTTGTAGAATAGCATGGAAATGCTGTTTTTTCTTTTCACTGTGAAAAGTGGAATTGCTAACATTCTCCCATTTCTTGACATTTAACTTCTGCCTTAATAAAGCTCTTTGCTTTTTAACCGTTGCTTCTTGAAAAGATGGAGAGTTGACATCAAACTTAAGTTTCACAATACGTGACCCTGTCTCATGGTTGGCTTTAAGCATTTTGGGATAGATATAGGTAAAAATAGTAAAACAGGACTTAGCATTCGGAGGCCCTTATGCTACTTCTATTTCCATGAGGCCTTATAAACACAGAGCTCCCTCTGTGCATCTGTACACATAAAGTTACATCCTGCCTATGTTTAGAGAAGCCCCTCATAGTTTCCTTTTACTAGTGGAGAGTTTTGTGACTCCCTTAAGTTATTTGCAAAAATTATTCTAGTAGTATGACAAAAAAAGTCAAGCGCTCCGCTTAACGAGAAAAAGTTTTCCTGCTAATAGCTGCTACTTTGGAAGGGTCACTAAGGAGGTTTTGGAAGATGTGGCAGACTAATCATTCTACTTGACTCAATTCTAATATGTCATTACAAATAAAAGATGAAGTGAAAATGGAAAATCCTATCTGCTTTTGATTTTGAAGATTTCAGATACTTCAGTTTGCCTTTTGCAAAAAATTGCTTTGGTCTTGCACTTGGCTATTACTTATATCTCCAAACATGGTACAATGAACTGCTGTGAATTTACTTCAGTTTCTGTATTTGATTCTTTAGAATAGTTTAGTATGGGATTTAGTTTAGTTGCATAACTGTTTATTATGTTGTAATCTAAAATGAATTTTTATTTTTGCCAAGATCTGCTTGTGACATTTCTAATGGGCTAGACAATCAAGTACCTTCAAACTCTGTAGTACAGAATGTGTTCTGTATAGAAGCTGTTAATGGAGACAGCACACCATCTCCTACTCACCTTGCGGCCAGACCCAAAAATACACCAGTACCAAAACCACTTGCAGCTCAACCTGTCAACAACACTGGTAAGAATGAGAAGTTATGAAACCATGTTCCACAAGGCTTTTGTGTCTAATTGAAAGAATCTGAAGTAGAACTTTTTCTTTACGTTTCTCTTAGATTTCAGAAATACTGGCAGTTTCTGGGCTTGAACTTCTAATCTTGTATTTCCACTTCGCTGAATTTTTTAGAGTTTCTCATTTTTCAGGTGCATTAGGTTTTCCTATTTTCTTCATCAGAGGAGTGAAGATGAGAAAGATGTAAGGCATCCAAAACGTCCATTACTGTTCACCAGATGACTAAATTGTATAACAGCTTGTCTGGAGGAAAAATCAAATTCTCTCTTTTGTCTCTTTTCAACAACAACAACAAAAAACTAATGGTGAAATTAATTAAGTTTTTTTTCTGAGTACGAAGGAAGGAAGTAATCTCCTCACCAAATAGTTTCTAGCACAAATCTAGAAAAACAGTAATGAAAACACTGTGAGACTTTGGAGTCAAATTTCTTTCACAGAATTAATTTGTGTAACTATCGTTAGGTTTATTTTGCCATTAGATAAAGCTGCTTTCTAGTGCTGTCAGGGAACCGCAGTGCTCTGCATTGAAATGTGTTGTAGACTCTCCTACTCTTTCATTTTTTTAAAAAAAAGTATACTGTTTCAAAACAGATATTGACAAGTATTAAATCTCATTTTCCTCTTAATCAGTATCAACATCTTATGTTTATGATTGCAAGTAACATTCAGTGTAGCAAAGTAAGTGAGAAAATATTTTCCTTTTTTATTGTTGTCTCTGACAGAACTTTCAATCTAATCATGATTACGTCTAAGTTCTTTCTGTCTTTTCTCAGCTGTTTGAGAGGGATTACAGTGATAGAGGAGAAAAAAATGTACCCTTAAACAGAAATAGGCAAGCTGTTAATAAACAAAAGAATGCAGATTGTCAAACTTTTTGTAATGGATTGGGAAATGTGGGAATGACAGGAAGATGGCAGGAGCAATTGCAAACTTTAAAAGGTAATAATTAAATTAGGCCTTCTCTTAAGCTTTTCTCTGTCTAGAGAACTTGAATTTGATTCCTCTCTACTTTCAGTTGAAGGCCAAAGGGCATATACTTTATTTAGGCCTTGCTCCCATTTTCCTTTATCACTGAGGTCTGTTTCAAGTCTATATTAGGATAGGGAAACTGCAGAAATAATTGATTTGTTCAAATACTAATGTTGATGGAATCTTCATTGAGTTTGCACTAACGCACTATTATCGCAGCTTTCAACTGCTGTACATATGGGGATTTTTTTGAGGCAAGGCATAAAACAGATCTCCACCATTTGTTGGTGACACCCCTTCCCCCCCCCGCCCCCAACTATTGTGCCTAGCAATATTGTAATTTCAAATGACATTGCTAGAATTGCTTTTTTAGATCTAATTAATGAGTTAATCAGCTGATGTAAAGTTTTATAGATGTGTTTTGGAGATCAGCTTACTAAAAGTGCTTATGATTTTTCACTGCTGTTTTGCTTCTAACTTCATTGTGTAACCCCATTCAATCTTTCATGTGGATAAATTGAAATTTTTTTGTTGTTTTTTTTTTTAATGAAAACCGAAACTTCTCTGCAATTGACTTTTTTTTCCATTTAAATAAATGTTCCTAATTAAAATGGGAATGTGAAGAAAACTAAGCAGATTGTCTGTAGCTATGATATTTTTTTTAAGTGCTATGCTTTATAGTTGCTTGAAATAATTCATAAAGTGTGAGCTGGAAGTAGTGATGTATTGCCCTGGAACAGTTATGTTTAAAAAGCAAGTTTGTTTTTTTTTTTTTGCAGATCTTACAGATCTGCTGCCACGTGTAAAACCATGCTAAATATTATGCATATAAAGAATATACATATATATAGCCTAAAGATAATTCCATATAGAAACTGTTGTGCTAATACTAATATATCCTTTTGAATATGTGCTGCTGATTGCAGTTCTAGAACTTAAAATTCTTTGATCTGTTTTTCAAGCCTTCTGGGAAAGCAAGCAGTTGCGGACATTACATAGAAATGAAAGTATTAAGTAGAATCTAGATATTTATTTTTATAAGAGTATTATACATAATTAAAATAAACTCTTTAAAATGATAGAACAATGTATTTATAGGCACTAATCTTAAATTTTATAATAAATTTTAAAAATCTGTATCAATAAGGTCATAAGTGTAGAGCAGTTGCAGTACTTGGGCCCCAGTCCTTAGAACTGTAACCTGATGGCATGCTATCAGATAGAAAATTAGCTGAAATTTTTGTTACATATTATATTTGGTCTTGTAGAAAAATAGGTCCGACTCTAAAGGACTTGCAAACTGACAAACTTAAATAGAATTAACAGTGTCTGGTGTTGATTAATGGTATAGAAAAGGAAAGCTATGAATGACGTTGTACTGCACTGCTCTTAACAGGGCATTGACCTTAATGGGCATCCTCCTGACTGCTGCACCTGATTTCACTTGTCTAAGGCAAGATCTTACTGTGTTCTGTTAAGCTCTACACATGACTGATATTGATATATTGCTAACCAAGAGGGTCTGGGAGTACTAAAGCCTTCTTAGTCCGTACTCCTGCTAAATCCATGTCTGCTTTAAACCTTTTATGCGATTATGCTTGCTTGAGTTGGATGGCATTTATGTTGTCTGTAAAAAGACCAATTAACTTACTTTATAATTTCAAAAGCCTTTTCTTCAATCATTTGACTGTATAAGTTACATTAGCCAAATACAATTTTTAGGACTGATTGATCTTTATTTTGGAGGGTTTTTTTCAAGGTACACTTAGGTGGTTTTTTGCTTAATTTTATAC